GCAAAGAGGATGAACAAAAGTTCTTGAGTTCTTATTAATTCTTCAATGATGAAAATAACATGAGGGAAGGGGCCTTTATATAGGCACCAAATATATCTAGTCCTAATCTACCTAGGGAATTATTAAAGCAATAAAATATTAGAAATCCTAATTAAGCTAGAAATTATAAAGCTAGTTGGAAACTAAATCTCTTGGCTTGCACACCAAGTAATTCTAGAATGCTCCTAAAATCCCACATGTTCAAAACTCTCGCCGCCTTCCAAACGCGTCGCGCGCCCTACGCGCGCCGCCCTCGGTGTTTGCCTACTCCTCCTCGCACAAGATATCGTGCGTGCTTGCGCCCCACGCGTCGCCCTTTGTGCACGCTTCATCCACGCCGACTTCTGCCTGCGCTTGCGTATCCGCGCCCAGCACTCCTACGCCTGCTTGGTCTCGGCGTCCGCTCGCGTCACCCGCACTTGCGCGCCCAGCGCGCGCCTTGCATCTACCGCCCGTCTTCCGCGCGTCCTTGTCACTTCCGCGAGGGCCGCGCACGCCCAGTCCTCTTGCACTAATCTCGCACTCGCCTGCCCGCTTGCGCGTGCCTCCCAGCACCTTGCGCCTATGCGGGTTATCGCTCGTCACGCACCCGCGTATGCCCCTCACGGTCCGCGTGGACAATTCGCTCGCCCAATCGTGCGCATCAATGGCCGATGCGCACCCTTTGCATTTTAGCTTCTTACTAGCTTTGCCAATGCTAACTTCCACTTCCGTATCAACCGCCTTCTCCGCGTGTGCGTGCCTGTCCGGCGTGTCGTGCACGTGATGAGAACACGCGTTCCGAGAGGGTCAAGGAAAGGGCCAAAACGACGCATGCGTGGCCTAAGAGACGGGTACAAGTCCGTATGCGAGGCGCAAAGAGTGCAAGGGAGCAGGCCATTGAGGGTCGCACGTGGAAGCGCACGAGGGTACGCGTGAAGGTGCGCATTCATCAGCGCGAGCGTGTACGCGAGAGGATCCGACGGCAAGGGCGCGAGCACGCGCATTGGCGTAGACGTACATGGTTTAGGCTCGAGGGGCCGACAGGGCCAAGCCGACGAGGACGAGCATGCGGCTCGAAGGGTTGCA